TTGGAGTTTGACATAGTTTCAATCTAGGCACCACTTTAAAAAAAGCATAATGTCAAAAAGAATGTGGAGTTAATGAACAGCAAACATTGCTAGTGAGGGTAATGATATCAACCTACTCAGGTTTGTGGGTTAGAACATCGCCTTTATTTCAGGCTCTTTATGGTTGGTGGTGAGGCAAACATCCAGTGATGTTGAGGTTGTTTTCACATGTTTTCTGCTTCTCAAGAATACGTTTTTTGCCTTGTTTTGACTTCGCTATTCTACCAAATCTATCTATTTCAAGAAGTTCTAGTCACTTACGACAAGCATCAACGGTCAGCATACGATAACAGTGATAAGAATAAGTATAATAATAGAAACGGCTATGGTGATAAGGTTATTTGCGTGCTTAGGTACTCGACATTCCTGTTAATTTTTTGAAATCATTAAAAGTATATCCCAGTCTGCTCTTCAGCCTTCTTTCCATCAGCTGAGGTCTGTATCCCAGTTACAATTCATCACACACCGTCATTAGTTCTTATGGTACATCCGGAGTTTCCTCATTGATGGTTTAATTGCAGGCCCGATAATTAGTTCAGATTATGCCTACTAATTAGAATGCCTTAATATCCACTGCAAACGGCTAGGTTTAGCGGACTACTGGCTACTGTTCACTCGGGTGCCCCATCTCATCCCTCCTTTGAGCAACAGAATTGTAACACGATTAAGGGAAGTTTGGGTCAGATGTGATTTTGTAGAACTATGGTCTACTATGATATTAGTACTGCTCTAATAATAAACCTAATCCTAAATTTGTAGATTTGTCATGACATAACTGACTAATCTATAAGATCTTAGGTGGAAGTCACACCATCGACTACACCAACTCACTGTGTCGTATCAATTACCAATACATGATGTAGAACAAGGTTAGGCTAGAGAAAGAACAATATATTTAATATGAATAGAAGATATAAGGTAACATTCAGCAGAGACCACCCATGCATGGCCGAGCCATGCCACTCGATCAACTCCAGTACATTCAACCCATTGTTCGCGCCTTCTCCATCATTAGGTATTTCTCCGTGTTAAATATTGGATATCTATTTTCTGAGTAGTCTTGTGTTCAGCTTTGAAGATTGTGTGGTTATGGTCCAATGCCACTACACTACTCTCCCACCAGGATCAACGTGATGTTGGTTCGATACCACATTGGATGGGATCGTCGCGCGCCGGAGGTTACCAAGGATAATAAGAATCCTCCGGGTATTGGTGGGCTGAAAGATAAATCAAAATGAAGGCGGCAGCATCTGGTCGGGAAATACATGTAATAATTTTAAAATATCTGCCTTCATGCTTAACATGCTTGAAATGAAAATTTGGGTGAAGATTATTTGAGCTATAAAAAATGGGATTACAATAACAATAATAATAATAATTATAAAACGATGTGTGTTAATAGCCATTGGTTAATAACTTGACGTATAGGTAGTAAGTATTTTGTGTTTAGAAATATTAAAGTAATGAATATTGTAGAAATGTTAATATTGGTATTAGTCTTGGTTTAAATTATGAAATCAAATAACGATTATGCCGGTAAGTTGTCCATATGAGTTGAATTCCAATTGCATCTGTATTAGTAGGCTAACTGAAGGAACAAAAGTATTACCGTGGAGAAGAATTCCAACTGGTGTTCCAGTTAGTTTGATACGGTTTATTTAGTTACGGGGAGATTTTCTCAACCTCATTTTTACTTGACCGTGATAGAATTTAGTAATACTACTAATACACATGAATGGTTATCAAGGCAAAATTTAAATACGTGAGTGATAATTATATGAATTTTGGATAGATAGTTAGGAACAAATCGTTAAACATGAGTGTATTCGTAAGAGACATGCTCCAGACTCAATGTTTTGATCCGCGGCAAACTATATATTTATATTTATACTTGCCGGCTGATTGGGCATACAAGGTAGTTGCAAGTATGCAGTTTATTATAAGGCGGAATACGATTTAATTGAGATATAGTGGTTATAAGTTATTGAAATCAGTTAAGCCTATGTGTCATATTACTAAGTGATGTGGTTAAGATGTATTTGGCTAAATAAGTTTTTACATGATTAATAGTGAGTGATGCTCATGTGATTATCAGGGAGAACATAAGTTGTAACCAAGGGGAGTACACTCCCAACTCATGTCTATGATAATGACTTGAAACTTAGTCAGTGTTGGGGTGAATTCGACATTAATGTTTTCAGTTTGCAGGAGATTTGCTCGACTGCTTATACTGATTATTTGCATGCATGATTGTGTCGCTAAACCATCAATTAGACTGACAAGGTTTTGAGATATTTACTGAATGAGCAACTGATAGAGAAACCTACTATAATCATCTGTAGTGAATGAAGATAAAAGAAAAACAACACTAATGATAATTATAAGTCAATTTGCTGACCGATTTTGTTAATAGTTTCATTAATTTTATCGATCATATTACGTGATTGACAAGTCGTGACAATGCTTTATGAAGATATCCTGAAACTATTACGCTTAACTAGTTATAGTGTTGAATGAGGATTAGTCAGTGGAAAAATAGGTATTGTTGCTTTAGGTGATTCGAAATTATCAGAAAATTGTAACGTTAAAGAATCAGAGACGCCTAATTTAATTATAAATTTCAATTCAGAGAGATTCGTTTTGTGTTAACCCTAGTAGGTTACGGAGTCTTGATTTTAAACGTTTGTTTAGCCAACAGCTACCTGAGGATTTAGTTATTTTACTAGTGCAGTTGATAGTACCTAAATTTTTAATCTTATTGGGTCAGATGTGAGTTTACTAACGTCATAGTTTGTATGAAATGCCATTTTTGAACAGAGTGTAATATCTACGGGCTCATGGTATAGCTCTAAAATGTGAACCTATTTATTGACTTGCTGGTATATGGGCATGAATATCTTGTCATATCTTCAATGATTCTACCGATTAAGTAACCCTACCTGTGTACTATATTATCCTCAAAAAACCTGCTTTTATGGTTGTATACACCAACTTATTCATATATTATGCATGTAAATATTATCCCCAGCCGAAAATAAAATGACTTACGTTAGATGTAACCATAAGTTTTATTGGATATGAAATAATCCATTTAAACGTACATAACCTAATAAGGTTGTACTGTGAGATCATTTTCGTATGTTTTTTGTTAACGTACGTGAAAATCCATCAATTCACATGTAATAATATCTCATTGTCTTCTGTCACATATAAGGCTAATATTTTCGAGGCCTTTATTTCCAAATATTTACTGCACTTTTTGGTTCACACAAGACTAGGATCACTCATTTAGCATATAATCTAAGTTATTTGCTCCCTTCTTTGACATGGTACAGTTTCTTGTTGGCTGGTCTAATTTTGTTTTGCTTAGTCACTGGTCTTCGTTGGATGACATATTGAGTGCCTATATTCGTGATTTCTACTCTTTGATTTGGTTGATCCTGGAGAGTTTAAAACACGCACCACGCTTGTTGGAAATGTGTACAGCTGTCAGAAATTGTGATCGCTCATCTGAGCGAGCCGAATTATTCTAAGTACGGTGAACAGAGACACGTTCCTCCGTCCGTGAAGCCACTCTTCTTTTTTTGCAAATAACCGGTTTCGTATTTCTTAACAACTGATTTCTCAAATACCCTGTAGTTTAATCGTGCGGATTCCTTGGGCCACAGAATATAGTCACTTTGAAAGAAGTGGTAACCACCCTATGTTCGCCTGAGGATTGTTTTGTATTGTTTGGGAAATAATCACGAAACCTTGTCGAAACACCAAGTGACGCATAAAATGTCATAATCATCAGGGATTTAATCGTCAGTGAAAAATGTGCCCTCATATTCAGCACTCGCTATTTGAACAAACGTAAACATGAGCGAAAACCGCTTGCAACTTATGTACACACAAATACGGGTACATAACTCTCCTATGGGGTGAGTAGGTGATTGTTCACCTTCTCTTAAAGCCTTCAACAAACGGAGATTTGTTCACGTCATCTCAGAAAGAATTCTGCATAGGGCAAATCCGTAAGGGGGGAATCCATAACCTCACTTATCTATTGGATCTTTGATTTTCAACTTGTCCCGGTTTGCCTCATGAAGGTTGGGTAGGTTCGGTTTAGACATGTTTATTGGGGTGACGTCAAATACTTAGCATGTTGTGCATCATTACCAAGTGTCCATTTTTCCGACAGTAACATGTATTCTAGATCTCTCGTAGCTTAGTTTTTTACCTAGCAGATGTTCACAGTTCATCATCGTTCTCATTAGTAGGCACTGATGAATTAAGATTTTCTGGGGGGCCGATAATGGATAGGAGGAACTGCAGAGAGCCCCGTCTAGCTCCTCGCAAAGTCGCAGACACGAGCGCCCTCCATTTTGATAACACTCCACTGACTCCAGCGCAGGATACTCTATCCCTTAGATAATTTCTTAACCAAGAGGAGCAGATATATGCGCCTGGATCACTTATTCTTAGACAGCAGGACATTCACAGAAAGAGTAGTAGTATTGTAACATTGAATAAATCCCCGAAATAAATAGTTCTGTAGGTCTTTGACATTGATTCTGACCTCATAAGTTTTACTGGACACAGTCTCATTGAAGGCGCTTGGCCACTCATCCGCACCAGGTCACGAGTAGGTACGCCCTGACTTTTGATTTGACTGGGTTGGTACCCTTCTGTGATAAAAGTGTTATTGATAAAAGCATTGTCAAACCCTGAATATCTATAGCATCTTTAACGGATTGGCCAGTTCCATTAGTACTGGTCCAAATAAAGTTTTCCCTGTGTGACTGCAGCAGTCGTTATGGTTCCAACTGTTAGTGACAATGAAAAGGAGTTACTGTTATACAGATGCTGAGACTCTTGTGGGGTCCGTATGGTGGTTCTGCTCTTGTTTTAGAAATTTTGAGGGTAACGTCCTAGAACCTAACTCAACTGTGCAGGTCACTCCTCGTTGGTTGACCTTTAATCAAAGGTGTTAATTTGATCTTTGACGTTACGCAATGGCTAGTATTTTGCTCCTCATTAAACTTATTGGTATCATAGTGCTAAAGGTTACTAGTAACTTCTTGTATATCGTCATTTCATGCTTCAGGAAAATCTACAATGGATTGAAAGACGGATTACTGTTAAAACGTAACTTAAGACTCCTTGGCTATTATAAGTTTTCTATTAAGGTACTTATAACAGAAACGAATGGAAACCGGTGAGTTCAGTTAGCAGACTTGGAGTCGTTGTGATTACTAACCATCACATTCAAAAACAAGAACCTCAAGATGAGTATTCAAGTGATGCTATTTCAAGATCTCTAAAAAATCCGTCCTTATTTGAAAGAGTCCTTGGTGAAAATTCGGTCGGTGTTATTGTTTCATGGGTAGCTAACTGCATTCAAAAGAAAGCTCTCGGAATTTCGATCAAGAATACAGATTTAATACTGGTGTACACTAAAACAAGGAATAGTCTATACGATCTCAACAAATGGCTTAACGTCTTGCCTAATCATAACTACTCAAAACCTCACTTTGCAAATAATCATAATAAGGTATTTCAGCCACTCATGATAAATTCTGTTCATATATTTCATTTTCCAACGTAGTGCTTATTTAAATAAGAGAAATCCTGAGCACAAAATTCAGGTAACATCAGTTCATTAAGTCCTCTGTTGAGCCTCATTAAAAACTTCAAAACTCCTAGTTTGTCTTATTAAAAGTTTTCAGCTGATAATTCAGTGTTTTAAAATCATTTGGGAAATATCTTAGTGTAATTTCGGATTTTTAACTATCAAAATCATTGTTCTCACAGTTTTGTCATTTGACAAAACATTTTAATGCAAATCGGGTTCTACTTTCCGTACATTTTTGAAGACCTATCAACATATTAAACGTAGTTGTTCCCGTTTGAGGAGTTTTACTTATTCTACTTAGTCTTATTTATTAGATTATAACTGATACTGCACACTTATAAATAACAATTTGTCTTTTCAAAAAATTCCCTACTAATCAGGTGATTAAGACATCACATTTTTATTGGTAACATATAAAAAGTATGGTTTCAGTTTTACTGAGATAGAGAATTGAACGAATGTAAATCTGTTTCTTTTTACTACTTTCCGATTTGCTTAGAGTGGAAAATTATTGTGCTCGACTAGTCATTGGCAGGTTATGTTTTAGGTTAGGTTAGCCCCCAAATGCCATGGTACGGCCGAGGGTAGGGAGAGTTCTCTCTTCCTCTCGAAATGCTCTCATATAGTCGCGCGTATACAGCCACTGCCAGGGAAGTCCTACTCACTGCATTCTAGCGGCGAGTGTGTCGTTTACGAAATTGAGAGGACGAAAAGCGAATGTCCGGCGCTTTAACCGGGTCGGTGGACAGGGAGGATCCACCTAGAGGAGTTGGGAAATCGTGGTTCCGAACCAATGGTGAACATGGGCTCTAGTATCCTGAGGGAAACAAATGGCGTATGGACCTACTGTTGGTCACCGGCTACCATGGGACTGCATCTCCTGACACTGCTCCACTGTATTGTGGATCAGACCTCTAGGTCAAATACTCCGGGTGTGGCCGCCTAAGAAAACCACCCGCTTCGGTCTGGGCACCCAGGTAGTATTACAGCCCACACACAAATCAAGTGACTTGTGTGGCACATATGTACTCGGTGCCCTTTTGTACCAATATTTATGTGTTCAAGTAAATAAATAAATAAGTGAAGTTAGTAACGTTTATTTTATTTGTTTGTCATCGTACTGTGTACACATAGATATTTATTGATATTTTCAAAGATTAAAGAATCAGATTCATACAGCTGTATTCTTTCGTCAACTCGGAGTAACTTAAGTCGTAAACATAACTTGGAAGATCCTCGTATTTATTGCTCCTATGGTCAGCTTTACAATCGTCTGTTCTCGTATAGTTTTCGAAGTTTAAGTACTATCAACCATGCTTCCAATCTGAAAAACAAATTACTCTTGAAATTTCAATATATTTCTTCTGAGGTAAGGTTTTTTATATAATTTACTACATTTTACCCCTTTTTGAGCAACCGTTTCTTGTGTTAGGGTAGTTTAATGGTTAGAGTTTTTGACTTAGCCGTTAAGTCTCAGTTTCAAGCCCTACTCCACCTATATCGGCTGGGACAACCGAATAGTATCATTAGCCTTCACAGTGTGGTTCATACCCAAGTACGTGATGTATAAATTAATAGTAATTAGGATTTACTGGAAAATGCGGTTAATATATCGTAACTAGTAGAGGATTTCCGTCAATGCTGTGTATGCTAACACACTTCTGAAGGTAGTATTAAAATTTAAATTTCTATTGCCATATTCTGAATATACCAAGTTACAGGTATGGTCAGACATACAAATGGAGCCAACATCTTAAAATATAGGGATACATTGCCTGAAAAGAATCAATCTACAAATTTGTTTTTGGTTTATATTGTTTCAAGTTATCCTGAATTCTTGAAAATTTACTTGTTAAGTAGACCTAGCGAACCTAGAATGAAAAGATTGTACTTTAGGTACTAAGTTGCGACGGTTGTAACAAGGTGATTTCCGAAACTGTTGCATTGTTAGACGTCAGAGATAATTTATTTAATATCTTGAAGAAAAATATTAAATTTGGTTTGGGGAACTGTTTCCATACGGTACTAAGTCCTAGTTAAGTGTATCTGGATTTGTAGCCTAGTGTATAATCACCTCAAAGAATAAGAAGTGTAAACGGATATTGAACAGATCCCAATTTATGTTTATCTTTGATGCAAACACTGCTCAAAATAAAAATGCAGGATTCTGTTAGTGGTCAGACAGATACTTTGTACAATAAAATACTTGAATTTCTGCTATGTAGGTCATAAAGTATACAGCCTAGAAGTCTACATAATTTATGTTTCTGCCTTATAACTTGCTCTGCAAGGACAAATTGTAGAAATATCTGAGTCCTAACTTTACTACCGAATAAAGCCTAGATAGCTCCTGAGTATTTATGGCGAAATCTAAATTGAGATAACCACTGTAGCAAATCTGGACACACTTATCAGTACTAAGTTCCAAATTTCATTTTGAACACCAGTGATGACCTTGTTGAACTCCATTCTGATACAATGTTGTATACAGGTTAGGTGGTGGGCAGAAAGTGAGTACACTACATTCAAATCATCTGCACCCAGTAAACGTTTATCTGTATCGAGCCTTTTACATGTATCAATTATGTAGGATATAATGGTCAAACGTTCTAAAACACTACATGGTATTATGTCACTTGTAACTGGGATGACCGACCGATGGAGACTAATTTATTATAACTATTTTGTGTTGATGACTGAGGAAGGAATTCAACTACTGAACTTAGCGATCTCTAACCTTATATGAATTGAGCTTGTCTGTAAGAGGCTAGCGGTTAACCATGTGGGATGCGTTAGATATGTCAAAGTATAGGACTAAAACTAGCTCCCTGGGGCTAAGTTTATTAAATACTAAGTCGAAGTGACGAATCATACAAGATCTCAGTCTAAGGAATTCATTTCGGAAATTGATAACTGCATCTACTTTGTAGATGCGTTAAATTTTGTTGAATAATCAATTTACTCAACCACTTTCCCAGTCTCTGATTAAGCGGTATTATTTTTGGTATTTTATTTGGTAACATTTCCGGATGTTTTCCATAGAATAGTCATACCTCGTAAGCTTTCCGTACTTGTTTGTCTAATTCAGGGTTGTCGGTGAATCAGTCTTAAAATTGAATGGGACTTATTGATCTGTTGATTTTCGCCTTTATACCCTTAGAAAGAAGATTGCTCAGACTTACTTGAAGTTGGTCTACAAACAGCATTAAAAGCTAATTTAGACTACATAATTTTTATTAATCCACGTGCAATGAATTTGAGTGAACATTTACTTACTGAAACTATTCAACTATTGTCCAATAAAAACGAAAATTGTCAGGTAACTTTTGAAATTATAGTGAAAGTTTTCATTTAAACATTAGGTGAAAGGATAAATAGGGCGAAAAAATGTTCTTTTTCAGTTAAATTTGAAAGGTAAAAAAATTTCGCTTGTGTTTAAGTATGTTATAAGATATACTGGTCACCCACGACTAGTTGAGACTTAGTGCCCTTGAAATTTACATTCCTGTTGGGAAGAAGAATTTACTGTCATTTTATTTCAGTATAGTATAGTTTAAACCAGTTAATAAACCTCAGATATATTTCTTCAATGTGAGTGGAAGTTAGAAGACTGGCGAAATTTCTTACTATTATTAGTCATTAATATGAGGATTTTGACTGATAGTTGATGGTGTTTTCAAATGATATGGGGTTCATGTTCTAATATTCATTGTACCAATGGTTATATCAAAAATTAAATCTAACTGATTTGTTCCAAATTAAGTCGTACAACATGAATTCTGGTGTTACGTATACTTCGTCCAGTAGAATCACTGCTTTGTTCGCAGTAACAGTAGTACCTCTAACAACACTTCCAACCCGGATACGACAACCCCCTCTTTTCCTAACCTCGACTACTTCCAAACACACATCTTCTAAGAAAGATTTACTTGGTAAAAACGTCAGAGGCTTATTTACAACTGAGTTCACTCATTTGTAAACCGATTAAATTCAATGATTATTATCCAATTAAATAATTTTCTGTTGAAAGAAAAGTCACAGTATATCAATTAAGATAATGAAACATTATTGAAAATTAAATGAAAACAAATTCATATTGGACGAATTAATAAAGCATGAAAATGGGCTGAAAGTGTTATAACTTGTGGCCTGAGTGCCCCGCTAATGTATAACGTGACGATACCGCTAATTAGAGAGCAGTGAATTATCGATCGGACCAATGAAGCATAAAAACCCGTACGAACAGTCTAGAGTACTTACCGGTCCTGCTTCCTGCATAGCCCAACCAGTTAAGTCCAGAACACCAATCTCAGCCTCTGCGATATGAATAATTTATTTCAAACATATAGAGTTTATATACCAACCAGATAGACCACATAGTACCATAAAATAAGGAACAACATTTGTGCAGGATTTGGCCAAATGTAGCTGTGAATAAGGGAGATAGTAATTGGTAGACCCCCAAATGCCCCGATACGGCCGAGGGTGGGGAGAGTCCGCTCTCCCTCTCGAAATGCTCTCACATGGCTACGCGTATATAGCTTCTGCTAGGGAAGTCCTACTCATCACCTCGTGGCGGGGCTGTTGTTTACGAAAATGAGAGGACGAAAAGCGAATGTCTGGCGCTTTAACCGGATCCCAAACCAATGGTGCACATGGGCTCCAGTATCCTGGGGGAAACAAATGGCGTATGAACCAATTGTTGGTCACCGGCTACCATGAGACTGCATCTCCTCACGATACTCCACTAACTTGTGTATCAGACCTTCAGGTCCAAGGCTCAGAGAGTGGCCCCCTAAGAAAACCACCCGCTTCGGTTTGGGCACCCGGACAGTATCACAGCCCTCACACATATTAAATGAGATTTGTGTGGCGTATATGTATTTGGTGCCTCCTTGTACCAATATCTATGTGTTAAAATAAATAAATAGTTATTTAACAATTATACGATAAAAATGTACGCATAGTATTGGTTCATAAATGGATCCCAGAAGTTACCATTCATTATGCTTATGGGGGCATAAAAGAAAACCAGTTTAAAGAAATCTACAATGAGCTAATTAATGCTGAATGATGATAAAGAAAAATCATCTTGAATCAGTGTGTTAATTTTAAGATTGATTTTCTTGATATCATATTTTGGGAATTAGCAGTTCCCCAACGAACATGCATACATATTATATGGACAAACGAACTTCATTAAACATTCAGGGCTATTTATATGGATAGTACATTGAAAAGAATGTTTTTTTTCAAATGAATCGAGCTTTTCAATAAAATGTATAAAAATTTCACGGATAACACGAAATCAATACGATCATTGATTTTGTAATCTGTTGTTAACATCTAACTTCTGTCATTCTTTATACTTAATGATCACCGATTCAGTGTCCGAATAGTCACGTATAGTTTGAATGCTATCTGTAAGCGCACGTTTACCAAAGCGCTTGGATTGGGGAAAATCATGTGCAAAAACGATAAACGATACAATAGTTGAAAAATCCAACTTGTAAGAACTTCCATTGATCCTTGGAAGAATGTTAGCAAAGATAAAACAAATGTATTGTCACAATTTAAAATCAGAAGTATTTTCATATGAATAAGATTGATATACCGTTGTTTCATCAAGTTTTACCCTACGTACTATAGTGGTAATACTGACTAGTCAGTTTGACTATGTTAAAGATTGAATAGTTATCTTAAGATTATTGTTATACCTTATTATTGTTGTCTGTATTGAATAAAATCAATTGTAAACTGTTTGCTACCGGAAGTCACATGTTCATTTATTAATTTTATCATTTGTAAAATCATGTAAAACAGTCACTATCGTATGGATGCTTAAAACGGATGTTTTTGAAATATAACGATGTGATTTTTCTGTAATATACTATATTTCAAGTGTTGTTATGTTCACATGGAATGATATTAGTTTACGTCAATTTGTACACAACACAATTCTATCAATCTTGGATTTATTTAGTATGATTATGTATTAAGACTTAATTCATTTCAGAATAGTTTTAATATTAAACTGAATCTACTACACATGTACTTCAGTTCAAGTTACCATACCAAATCACCACCGCATGATAAAATTATCAATGTAAATGTCAGAGTAATAGAAATAGTAACAGTATTATTGGTTAGTAGAGAAGGCTAAACGTAGACAGCATAATTCGAGGGGAATAAATCAATCCGTAGGATAAAAACTATAAGATAGTTTTGAAAATTAGGATTCAAGGGAAGATAAATAATGAATGTATCTTCATTACCGTGATCAATTGTTATCTATCTCACCTGTCTCCAATCATTGGGTATGATAATCGCGTAGACCCCAATCAGTTAGATTAAATTTATCAACATGGCTCAGTCTAAGAGCCAATGATTTCAGAGATCGATCCCATGTCTTACTTTGACGACTTCTAGTTCCCTTCCAACCTACTCCGACACAAGTAAACATTGGATACACAGTAAGGTAGTGACGGCTAAATCAAGATTTAACTTTAAGTGATAAAATAAATAACTCTTGTTTTTGTCGTTTAAAATCTCTTAGGCTTATAATACTATTGTTCACAAATTAAAATTGATATAACTCAAAATAACCTTTAATGACAGACATTGTTTACATGGCATATTCTTCCGTAAATTCCTTGCCAACTTTTATTCGACTTATGTTTTCCATATTTTTGTGTATTGTAACCTAATTCACTTCAATATTGCATTTCTACTATCAGTTTTATTATACTGCACGGCGAGACTATAATTTATGGACGAACCAACCAAATATAAGATAACAGGTTTCGAATTTTGGCGCGAAATTCACTCGTCTATTTGGCTAAATAGCGTTTTAGCACTATAGCTGATATCAGTTCGTGATCTAATTCCTAACCTTGACCGTCAACTGTAAATCATAATTCTAATCTTTCACACTGGTTTATACCCTTCATTTGGTCCTAGTTATTAGGTGGACATACTCAAGGTCGGTCTAGTGTCGCCCAAAGCTCGTCCATAAATTATAGTCTCACCTTTACACAAATGTTTTTAAAACGATTGTCATATTGGTATAAGATTGCATTGTCTCATAAATTTCAATAAAATATTCTCAGCACACCGAATCAAATGAGAGATTATATATGGTTATAGCCTAAGTATCAAGTTTGTTCGTATAAATAGTAATGTGAGAAGAATAAAGACATGAAACAAAATCAGAGGATTAAATAACTTGAAAATTGGGTAGAGAGTTAATAGCAAATATATTTTTGTCATATTCCACTGAGTAGAAAAATTGTTTTGGCTTTTGACAATTTGAACTGATTACTTTGATGGTTTATTTATATTTTGTAGTAGAGCGGTAGCTTGCTGGTTAACGAGTTTAACATTCAACCAATAAATCTCAGGCTCGAACCTTGCTCCTCTTACTTCGGTCCGAGCAACCAAGTGTGTATCATTAGCCCTCACGTTTAGATTGTGTCTTCAAACCAGACACCTGGCAAATGAGTTAATTCTATTTTATGGTAACGAAACTATACAGCTATTCTGCTTTTTTTTACAGGTTGACTTTGTGCTAGGTATTACTAAACCTTGTTCAAGAAGTTTACGAACTGACACTGATGTTAATACATATCGAAGAAAATCATCAAATGGTTTATATCTATTCGGTTTAAAAGGTGAACAACATTATATAATGTCCAATATCAAATCAATTTGTGCTAATTTGGAATGGTCATCTATAAATGCAGCAGATATTCTATATAGAAATATTTATCACTCTTTACCAAATAAAAATTTGGTATGTTTACGTAAAAGATTAGAGGAGGTAAGTAAAATAATTTGTTATTGTCAATGAGATTACTTTGTTCTTCACGTATAACTACGGTTCAATATGTTCACTGATAAAAATTTATACAAATATAAAAGGATTTTCTACTATAAGATCGACTGAGTTGTTGACACTGTTTTTTACTCATTTACCAGTTACAGATTTGTATACTTGTCTTTAAAATACACTCTAAGTGTGACAGAAAGTGACACTACCCAGCTTCCTAAACTGGATCAAACGAAGTGCGGTCCAAATTTGCTACTTAGTGGTGAAAGTTGAAATCTCCAGTCGCCAACCCACCATTCCGTCTAATTCAGCTTTAACAACTGAAGAATATAAGTAGTTTTCACATTAAAAGTTTGACTCTATGTAGAGTAACCTAACTTATACACACGACCAGTGAGTTGCATTAATATATTTATTTAATCAAGACGCTACTTTAAATCAGAAAATCCAATGATAAACATAATTCACTGGTCGAAAACTTCAAATACAGATGCTATTTATTGACATTAGCTGAAAAAATTGTTGATAAGCTTCGAGGATTGATTTTTCGTAGTAACTTTTTTGGGGAGCCGTCTCCTAGGAAGATTATCCATATGTTAGTGAAGTAGTAGTTACTCATGGATTTGATTGTAATTGTTTTCGTTGCATTATACTTCAGGTATTTCAAATAATCCTTTCCCACTATTCCTTAGTATGTATTTGCTTAATAGTTTTACATCGCGTGGCCGAATCCATGTATTGCTACCAAGAGTTACGTAGTTCTGTTGAATATGAGCACACAGGTTTTCTAAGTTATCAATTTAGGTACTCCATTTCAAGCATCAGGTTGTATGTACACTTCACTTTTTTTTGTCTCACTAGTTGGGTAGTATCATTCCCCTCCAGACAGCAAGTATAAGACTGTAGTAGCCTCACATCTCTCAGCTAGAACTTACAACTTATTTGAACAGCTATAAATCTGGACAGGGATGTAAGAAAATTCAGTGGTTCATTAGAGTACCATTGGTTATTTTGATTTGAACTGTGAAAACTGTATATTCTGTACTAATATTCTTTACTAATAATAATCATATGCTCACTAGTGACTGGCTTCAAGATGTAACTCCTGGAGTTCTAGTGCGAAGCTGTAACCAATGGAGTTCAATCCGTCTTGGATGTGAAATAGTTATCCACCATAGGCAATAGATAAAGGTTGCGCAATATCGTAAACTGACTGAAATTAGATATCAACACCTCTGGACTTTGACTCCGTGGTTAAGCGTTCAGAAGCAAGACAGACGGTCTTGGGTTCGATCTTTCATAGTGAGGTCGTAGATGCCTACTGATAAGAAGTCTTATACTAAGATGAAGCTACCATCCAGTACTTCCAGATTTTTGATGGTGGACCAACTGAGATGGATTCTAGGTCTAGACTCAAAATTCTACAATTTCCACCAACCCCCTTTGCTAAATATATTCTTTGATAGTCTTAATTTTGATTGTTACCCTTAAGAAGATGAGATAAGATTGCTGACCCAAACGTTGGGATGAATTAAATTTTATTAGCTGAAAATATTTAAAAAGTAATTTCTAATATGTACTATGTGATCTGTTTGTAGTTACCTGATATATACTAAACCGCCATATGTTGATCAAATTATTCCGCCTTATTACTGGTTATCATCGGTGTTGTTGTGTTGTTTTTAAGGTGTCTGAACCACTGGATCTTATCAACGTACAACAGTCTACTGGATTATTGTGTGAGGATGTACTTAACGATTCAGTAACTGTGATTATTCCCATGGGTTATGGCCATCCAGATGATTGTATTGATTCTGAAGACATTGAATTAGTCGATGTGAAATTTTCAAGATCATTAGCTTATACAATTGAACTAGCAGTACATAATGCTTCGGGTAAAAGACAAATAGAGGTTAGAGGTACTTTTTGTCACACTATTATTCTTTTAATCTCATATGCTTTACAGCCTCCAAATGCCCTGGTACGGCCGAGGATGGGGAGATCTCGCTTTCTCGAAATGCCCTTACATGGCCTCGGATATACAGCTACTGTCAGGGAAGCCCTCGTGGCGAGGGTGTTGGTTACGAAATTGAGAGTACGAAAAGTGAATGTCTGGCGCTTTAACCGGGTCGGTGGATATGGATGATCCACCTAAGGGATTTGGAAGGCCCTGGTTCCGAACCGATAGTGTACACGGGCTCCAGTATCCTGAGAGAGCAAATCGCGTATGAACCTACTGTTGGTCACTGGCTACCATGAGACTGTATCTCCTGACGTCGCTCCACTGCCTTGTGGATAAGACTTTTAGGTCAAAGGGTTGGGGAGTGACCCCATAAGAAAATCATCTGCTTCGGTCTGGGCACCCGGGAAGTATCTCAGTCCTCACACAAATCGAACGATTTATGTGGCGCATATCTTTTTGGTGCCTCCTTGTACCAAAGTTAATGTGTTTAAATAAACAAATAAAATAAATTGCTCACCCACCTGTCAATGTGTGATGCAATGTGAATAGAATACGCACATTCGAAATACTCAGTGAACACTATAATTTTTGTAACATTAAAACTCATAAAGGTCTGGGACTAGACTTTTATATTCAGAAAAGATTCAATGAGTTAATCTGCAATTATACTTGAACTGGGCCTTCTTAGAATTTTTATCACACCATACATTTTAGATGTTCTCCAAATATTCCAAGACTATCGCTTTAGTTATTCCATTTTTGTATTGGTTGATTGAATCTCCCCGTTGATGGTTAGGACTGCAATTGACTAGTCTCTTATTGCTATATGTGCATCCTGTGCGGATTGCCTCGATATTGCCTTCAGTCACAAGTATAATGAGTAGAGATGATGGGGCTAGCAGTGGAACAGTACTGGGTTCGAGTCCCGGGATGAACATTAACTATGAGATGCAGGCACATCCAGCTGACGAGTTCCTAATAGGACGAAACGCTCATCCTGGACTGTTTGGGCTAGGCGCGAAGTTGTTGTACAAAGGAGTTGAATCAAGGCTGCTAGTGCTGGCTGACTTGTTATCGGCTTGTCACGGGGACAAGGTCATAGAAGTCGATAATCTGATTGGCGATTTTGTCACGTGATATTTTATGGGCCACAGAGCTTAACAGGTTCGTTCACAATTTTCATTCAATATTCTATTGAAGGATGAGATTTCAGGGGAAATTTATAGAAAAAATTAGTGTCAGTAATAAAGTGTTTTTCTGAAGTCTGATTAAATTTAGAACATAACTTCATATCTTAACAAATCAATCAAAAAGTGTGTCAATACTACTTTGATATCATTTTCAGTTGGATTTTGGAATTCAAGTGTACTTAAGGAAGTAAGTATATTAGGTTGAAGAATAAGAAAGGTTTCTTACAAGGTTTTCTAAACATCTTCCTTGGAATCTATACTTAAAAAGAAACAGTATCTTCCTTACATATGAACATTGAACATTTCATGTCTAATGGATATAAAGTGAATATCTCAGTAGCCATTAAAATAAGTAAAAATGGCAAATAACAAACATCATCTTTACTTCATTTTTACAAAAGACCATGACTTACCAAATTTTTTAGAATCGATTTGTACATAGAGAAGAAAAAAAGATGTGAAAAAAACTCTGACTTGACAGAGATGATCGTACATGTCTCTTCAGCAATGCACATCCACGATTCCGTTCACGGGGCTAAAATCCCGGACCTTCTGTCTTCCTCACAAATGCCGTTGAATGCCAACTCAGTGATCTAGAGGTTAATCGTATCCTGGGTTCTAGTCGCGCGTGCGGGACCGTGAGTGCGCACTGCTGAGGAGTCCTGTACTGGGACAAAACGACTGTCGATTATTTCCAGGTTTTCAGTCGTGATGTCGTTTAGATTGACTCCTGAATCCAAATTTGAAGATACTACAATCTCCATAAATCCCCAAAATTCATAAATTTCGATAATGTAATGAAAAGACGAAGTTTATCAGAATTATGTGATATATTTGCGCAATACATTTCGAACAATCTGATCACACATATACTTGTTAAGAACATTTATATATGAAAATGGATGCGTACTGCTGAGGAGTCCCATACTAGGACGAAACGACCGTCCAGTGCTTCCAGGTTTTCCATGGTGGTCTAGCTTCAACTGACTCATGATTTCAATCTGTGAAATTAAAAGGTTAACTAGACAGGTTAAGGTTTAGTCATAACAGAGGAAAAATATTAAAGTACACAAAAACAAATGTGATCACCACTCTGGATAATAAATCAGTATTACTAGGGTAAGTTAAGTGTAAGGACAAATTGATTTTGAACACATAAAGGGGGTTTCAATTTCCGTATAGTCAAGGCTTCAATAAACCTTAGTATACGTCCTTGAAGGCTTTTGTATAACACTACAAATGCTGATTTAACGTCAACCTTATGACCCGCCTCAATCAAATGTTTCGCAATGGAGGATGATGTCTGTCTATCCTGTGATCTTATTTGACCATTGGAATCCATTTGTTTCTGCAACCATTTTGGTATGCGTTCACCCACCCTTGATTGCAAATCACGATTGCTCCTCCCTATGTACGTGTTTCCACACACATGTAAATTGATAGACACAATGGGATGTGACACAATCGCTTTCGTGCTGTTTGGGCTTTTGGTGAAACATAGACATTGTCTTTTCGATAATGACAAGTTGGGCGGCATAAAATGTCCAGTTGATAGCTAATTCAAGTCTCCGTTTCAACATGAGACTATTTGTGTCGCCTCTGAATGGTAATGTGATATAAACTCGCTTTTTGGGTGCCAGAAGCGTTATAGGTCTAGTCGTATTGCAACCCTTCCAGCGGTTTATGAACTTCAAAGAATAATCATTATTCATTAACGTATCAGTCAAGAGCTTCGTCTCTACTTCAATAGTACCACTAGTACAAATACAATTGATTCTATTGAATAAGCTCTTTATTAGACCGTGTTTGTAATGAATAGGGCAGTGACTATGAAAATTAAGATATTGCCCTGTCCGTGTTGGCTTTCTATATATACCACGTTGGATGGAACCATCATCTCTCCTACTAATCAGGATGTCTAAAAAAGGAAGTTGGTTATTCTTCTCTTCTTCACATGTAAGAGAAATGTGCTTTTGACTTCTATTGAATTCTTTTAACAAGCGGTTTATGTCTTCCCCTTTATCCCCTATGATTATTGTATCATCAACATATCGTTTATACAGACCCATCGTTCGAATTGAGTCTTCAACTAAATTTTCAACATATCTCATGAACACATCAGCCAGCAATGGTCCTAGAGGGCTACCCGTAGCTACACCATTTATTTGTCGGAAGTGCTCACCTTCAAAAATGAATTTCACATTATCTGTACACAATAATAGTAAGTATTTAAGAGTGTTAACAGGAAATGGCAGTGTAAGGTTATTCAAAGAAATATAGTCACACAAAATATCAATGGATTTCCTGAGAGGTACATTTGTAAATAAAGTGTTCACATCAAAGGAGCACATGGTTTTTGTCTTTATATTTATGTCCTTTAAGTAATTAATTAATTCAAATGAGTCAGTCAATGAATACTTACAATATTGATTTCGGATAGGGTTTAATACTTTTGTAGGCCATTTTACAAGGTTGTGTGACGTCAAATCAGCATTTGTAGTGTTATACAAAAGCCTTCAAGGACGTATACTAAGGTTTATTGAAGCCTTGACTATACGGAAATTGAAACCCCCTTTATGTGTTCAAAATCAATTTGTCCTTACACTTAACTTACCCTAGTAATACTGATTTATTATCCAGAGTGGTGATCACATTTGTTTTTGTGTACTTTAATATTTTTCCTCTGTTATGACTAAACCTTAACCTGTCTAGTTAACCTTTTAATTTCACAGATTGAAATCATGAGTCAGTTGAAGCTAGACCACCATGGAAAACCTGGAAGCACTGGACGGTCGTTTCGTCCTAGTATGGGACTCCTCAGCAGTACGCATCCATTTTCATATATAAATGTTCTTAACAAGTATATGTGTGATCAGATTGTTCGAAATGTATTGCGCAAATATATCACATAATTCTGATAAACTTCGTCTTTTCATTACATTATCGAAATTTATCAATTTCGTTGATTATTTGTTTTTGAATTGATAAAGTTATTTGTAACTGGGATAGTTTCACCTGTTGTATGTATCTTACTTTTACTCACTCACCAATATTTACTCATTGTTTAGCTAATTTTCATTCTAATTATGTCTTTTGATTATGTATTCCTTTTGTATTTGTATTTTGATCAGCATTATTAATTATTGTTATTTATTTATTATTAGTTTTATTCAATATTATATTCTTGGTACAATGTAGAATTCTCAGCACAAAGTACGTCAGCTATTTTCCTTTCCTTCTTTCTTCATCGATTTTAACGATAAATATTGAGTGGTTGACAGTTAGGTGTTATCAGTTCAGGAATCGACATCTGAATAATGTTCATTCTTTCCAATCAATATTGTCAGCCATCACGATATTTGTGATTGTACATTTTTGTAACTTGTAAAGAGAAAGGTCGTAAACTTTTCACAAACACATCTGAATAGGTTATGCAAATAATTGGTATAATGATGTGTTAAAAGAAACCTGGAAATAGATGAGTTGTTGAAATTTGTAGATGGTAGGAACAGGTGGTCTAAATATTCAAGCTGGGCGATATAACTTTCCCTATTTTATACAATTAGATTTTCAGCATTAATCCCAACTAATATGCTTCATACTATAATATTTTGTATCTTTATGCACTTATTATTATGATGCTTTGTCCTGTTCCAAATATTCATATCAGTTTCATTAACTGAAGTATTTCGAACCGTTTTTAATAATAATATCAATGATATCACGAAATAAGTTAGATATCTAACGAAAACTAGGAGTCTAAACAAAGCGCTAAACTGATAATTGTAATGTGAATAATTTCAATAGGTAATTCAGGAATTTCAATGAGAAGCTATAACTAGTGGAGTTTGGTGTTGTCTCATGTGAAGAAGGTACATATGAAAGACAATTGAGGATATTTGCACAGTATTGTAAATTAATTGAAGTTCTAAACGTAAATACCATTCGATTCTGGCTCATTGGTCTAGAGGTCTGGCGTTCGTGTGCAAGACTGAAGGTCTTGTGATTTTATCCTCTTTGGTAGGGACATTGAGGAACACTGCTAAAGAGTCCCGTACTGAAACGAAACAACTGTCCAGTACTTCCTGATTTCTATTGGATGGCTAACTTAGGCCGGTCTATAATATTAATAACATTCAGTAATCTCCAAAATCTATACTCATAATAATTTTATTCTTCATAACTTGAGGGCTATTTTTACAGTTGACAATATGTAAACTTGAAATGGGATAATTCAAAGTTATTCACAATTTACAAATCTTGTTGTCAGTTATATAGATTGTTGAGTTTTGATTGAGATCATGAATAAATCAATGTTAGACCACTATTGCAAACCTGGAAGCACTAGATGGTTATTTCGTCCTAGAACGGGATTTCTCAGCAGTGCGCATCCACAATCCCGTACATGGGATTCGAACCTTATTATCCTTGCTCTATTCCCCAACATTTTATTATTATTGTTTTCAGGATTTGTATCCTTTTTTTCTTTTGTTATTCTTGTCTATGTATATTGATCATAAGTGTGTGTTTATTTGAATTTTAGATTATAATTATAGACAGTTCACCATCGAAATATCCTCAAACTAGTAAATTGTTACATTCTTCTACTGCTCATCCAATCACAACAGAATATTTGCATGATATTGTACATCCTCGTTGTATGGTCAATGTTGAATTATATCATTATGATCCATCGGTTACAAGCATATTGACACCGAGTCGGGGTGAACTTATTCGCTATGCTATAGATCAATATGCTAATGGCTCAATGTTAGTTATTTTGGAACCAGGTAGTGATTTTTAGCATTGGTACTTCAGCTTTATTTCCCTTTCATTATTGTGGGATTGTACATCATACATAATTATTATTTTCATCATGAATTGACATTTGATGGAAAGAAGTCACTCAGTTAACAGAGGGAATGAGACTAGACAGTAATGCTTTCGTGCCTAGTTTGATATTCCTCAACCGACTTGAAATTACGAGCTACAAATGTGGTAGAACTGTCTAAACATTAAAATTTCTCTGAGCATAATATTGATAAGTATTATCATAACTTAGATCCAATAGTGCACGTTTTTTACTTCTGTTAACTACCGGTGCTGTACGGTCATCATCATTCGATGTTGTCGAGGAGTTACTGTTTGAGAGAAGTTGAGAGTAGTTAAGAAAACTTACTGTTTGTATGTCTTCGGTTTTGAAACGAGCTCAACTTTTGACGCTTTCCCCTCCACATTCTTACATGTCATTCATTCAGTTGTAAGAAAAACAGGACCTGGCCGTTCTGTGCATCCATTCAAGTTGCCACACTATATATGTATATATCAGAACGGGGAGATGAAATTATTAAGAAGGCTAGAGTAGTTGAAGTAATAATATCAATAATAGTGATGCAAACAGTTCCTTGACCAAATTGTAACAGTTGGATCAAGTTTCAAATCTT